CTCTTTTTAACAAGTTTGCTCTTAAATACAATGGTAGAGTAATTTATTGAGAAGCGCCCTTGGGAACAGAAAGGAGGGATGCACGCTGTAGATGTTGCACTCAGCAGCTGAGGTGTGGAGGAACATGTATGCAGTGGCAGCTCAGAGGCTAGCTAGCTCTGTGTCTAGGTCCCAGGCTTCCTATCTGTAAAATGGGCAGGATGAGTTATGTCTGTGGTTAGTACATAGTTGTTTTTTTTTTTAATTGTACTTTAGATGAAAGTTTACAGAGAAAACTAGCTTCTCATTAAATAATTAATACACATACTGTTTTGTGACATTGGTTGCCAACCCCACGACATGTCAACAGTCCCCTTCTCAACCTTGGATTCCCCATTACCAGCTTTCCCGTCCCCTCCTGCCTTCTCGTCCTTGCCCCTCAGCTACTGTGCCCATTTAGTCTCGTTTTGTTTTGTGAGCCCGTCTAATCTTTGGCTAAACGGCGAACCTCAAGAGTGACTTCATTACTGAGCTATAAGGGTGTCTGGGGGCCATACTCTCAGGGTTTCTCCATGGCACACAGTTTTAAGCAGTGGTGCTCACTCTAGTTAACAGCTTTTCAAAAACCAAATGCAGACCATGATAGGAGAGGCGCGGAGCCTGCCTGAGAGGTTCCCCGCACCCCTCACAGAGCTCCTTGAGGCTCGCCCTGGGGCTCTGCTGCTCCAAGGTGCAGGGCAAAAACCACTGGCCTAGAAGATCTTGAAATTATTTTCTAACCGAACAAGGATAAATGCTTGTTTCTAATCTGACTGATGCTTGGGTTTACTCTGCCTCTGAAGGACTAATGTCCTGTGATGCTCAGAGAGGGACCCTGCCAAGCGACCCCTAGGCAGCTGAAGCTTCAGAGGCACAGGTTACGGGGGACCCGAGCCTGAAACACAAAGATGGAGGCCATTCCCTGTCACTGTGGGAACTGCTGTGTGTCTTCCACAGTCACATCTAGCTCGCCGGCTAGCTGTAGCTGGTAGTAGTTTTGTGTGTATGTGAATGTAGCTGCCATGTATTTCCTTGCTCCCTCCTTCTTTCTTTCCATCATTCATTGATGAATTCATTCATTCACCAATTCCACAAACATTTATTAGGCACCTAGTTCTAGAACAGAAATGGTCTAGTGCGGAAGACTGACAATGAATAGGTCATCAAATAGCCACGTAAACTCACACAGAGAATAGTGAATAGTGGCAGTGGTGGGGGGCCTAACTGAAGATGGAATGAGAGGAGCCAGCCATGTGGAGAGCCAGGAAGAGGATGTCCAGGCAAAGGGAACAGCACGTGAAGACCCCATGGTGAAGACCCAGTGGCAGGACAGGGCTTGGTGTATTCAAGGACAGGGAAAGAGGAGCCTGCTGTGGCTGCTACACAGAGGGAGAGGGAGAGAGTGAATGTAGTCTTCACCTCCGAGGCCCTGAAGAAAGAACACAGTGGGGACGCCTGCTAGGAGTAGGCAGCCCGTACCAAGGAAGGGCTTGGGAGGTGGCCTCTACAGAGCAGAGGCTGCTTGTGCTGCAGCATAGCACATGGAAATCAATCTGACACCTGGGTAATCTCATTTTTTTCCTTTCTACTACCTGGTTGGAAGCCCTCGGTCTGTGGATGGCAGGTCCTAACTGGGAGAAGGTTGAGGTTGGAGAGAGGAGAGGAAAGCAGAGAAAGGGAGAAATGGGCAGTGGCAGAGACGAGTCCTGGGCTTTTGTCACTTACGGGCAGTAAGTGGCGTGTGATGTGCCACTTACTGGCTGTGTGACCCTGGACAAATCCCTTAACTCTAGGCTCCTTGCCTGAAGATCCAGGGACCCTATGGCCTCCCTTGGAGGTGGTTGTCAAGAACAAATGATGAGCCTGGCACTTTGAAATTGTCCCCTAAATGGTGGCAGTTAAAAGGGAAAGGTGAAGGGATGAGGAGGTAATTTAGGTTGAGGATGAGACAAGTGCACATTTGTTTAGTGCTTTACCATTTGCAAAGCCCTTTCACCCACAGAAAGAGGGACACTGCACCTGCACCCCCAAGTCTGCACATTCATGCCTGCCTCCTTCCTCCTGCAAACTAGCCGTAAACAAATATTGATCCCCACCCCTCAAAACACAACGGTTTAAATATAATGTTTACTGTGTGCCAGGCACTGTCTTGAGCACTATACATATGTTAACTCATATAATAGTCACAGCCACGTCAGAGGTAGGTACTACTGTAATCCCATTTTACAAATGCGGGAACTGAATGAAGCACACAGAGGTTAGGTGATTGGGTCAAAGTCACAGAGCTAGTAAGTGACCAGCTTATTTACTAGGGCCAGGATCAAATACATAACTAGCGCCATGCTGCCAAGACAACCCCTGCCATCAGTGGGGTCCCATCTCACTTCATGGCCGTAAGTTCATGTAATGCGCTAGATGCTATCGTAACCATGGCCAGAGTACTAAGGGAGCAGAGGAAATGAGCTCTGATTGGTTCATTTATCAAACATGTATTAAGCAAGATGGTACAATGAAACACTTTTATATGGCTTTTCTAGCCATGGTCTTGTAACTCCCACCAAATGATTGGCTGGGCCACAGTCTTGCAGGGGATTGGTTGATTTACTATGCAAATAGTGGCTTGCAAATCCACCCAACAGGATTGAGCCCCTTGTGGACCATCAAGAAGAGTTTGGATTGGAGTGCATCCTTTGGACCTGGGGTCCCTGCACTGAGAACTTCCTAGACCCAGAGGAGAGAGCTATTATACTGAAGATGGAGAGAGGTGGCTGTGGTGGGCTGGCAAGCCCAAAGAGAGAGGGTTGAGCGTCTTCCGGCGGGAGGCTTGCTGGCAGAACTGGGTGCCTCTCAGCAAGCGTAGCAGAGCTAAAATAACTGTAACACTTGTTCAAGCAGGGCAGAAGCCTGAGTGTACACTGTTCAGGGCTTGCATGCCTCCTCCTCCCCTCTCTACCCCCGAGCAGATGGCAGGAGTCACACGAGCCCTCAGGAAGTGCAGACTGGGGTAGCGTGACAGCAGCTAGAGGCAGTGGTGACGTGAAGACAGTACCTGACCTCAACCACAGAGTACCTGCTCAGCGATATAAGAATGGGCATGGGTAATTTAGGGAAAGGTAAGCAGTTCCCTTTGGAGAATCTCTTATTGTTTACTGTTTGCTATAAATAATAATAATGGCTTTCACTTTGCCAATACTGTGTGTTTTATGTGTCTGGCTTGATCACAGATAAACGTAGCACCCAGAGAATGGCTGATGTCAGTGGGTGTATATGCCTCATTCCTAGCAGTCTTATGGCTGTCTGCAAGTTTGAGGCACAGCCTGTCTGCATGTGCAATGCAGACAGACAGACATGTCATACAAGCACCTACTATATGCCTAAAGGAGTCCCTGGGTGGAGTAAACGGAAACAGTTAAAAGCACTCGGCTGCTAACCAAAAGGTTGGAGGATGGAGTCTACCCAGAGGCACCTCGGAAGAAAGGCCTGGTGATATACTTCCAAAAAATGAGTCACTGAAAACCCTATAGAGCACAACTCTATTCTGACACACAGGGGTTCACCATGAGTCAGAGTTGACTTGATGGCAACTAGAGGAGAAGAAGGAGCTGGGAATCAGTGGTTAACAAGACAGATGTTGTCCCTGCTCTTAGAATTTACAGTCTAATAGAGGAGACACACAGCAAACCAATATTTGCACAAGTAAGTATTTTAATTTCACCCGTGCTAAGGAAAAGTAAAGGGTGCTAGAGAACGTATGTATGTTGAGAATGAGGGAAGACTTCATAGCGGTAGCAAGAACTGAGTTAAATGTGTGTGTGTCTATGTATAAGTATGTGTACACACATATACTGAGACCTCTGTACCGAAGTCATGTAATTAAGAATGTAGTATTAAAATGGGGCAACACGTAGGTGAGGTGCTGCTAAAACTGTCATCTTTATTCTGGACTGCTTGTGGACTCCCTCTCTTCACTGCTTCTTTGTGCCTGTGTAAAAAGGTAAGCAGAGGAAAGGGATTCTCTTGATTTTGCTTCGACTGGTGAAAGCTTTGGTGCAAAGAATAAGCTTGAGATCACTGGCTGGAGTACAATTTATTGTTGGATATCTTTTTCAGCCCCATCTCTATGTCTTTTACACCCAAGACTAAGAATTATTCCACAGGGTGAAACTCACAGCTAAGAGACCCTGCAGTGTGCTACAGTGGTTAAGATCACATGCTTGGGACCAAACAGACATAGTTTGGTCACCGTGTCACCACTAAAGAGCTGTGAGACCAGGGCATCTGTAAAATGGCATGGCAGATACTGCAGGCAGGCTCACTTGACACTGGCTGTAATCCACATCTCCCTTTTCCACCTATACTAAAGAGGCCAAAACCCAAAATACTCACATTCCCAGCCTCACCTACAGATGGGGGTGGCCAGATGTTAGAGCTCTGGCCACAAGTCTCTGGGGAGTCTTTTCTGAATAAAAAGGCAAAGCCTTGATGGGTGAGGCTTTCTGCCTTTTGCTTTTCCACCTCCTCCTGTCTGAAAGGCAGGCTGTCCAGAGGTACAGCAGCCATTTTGTGACCATGAGGATGAAGAAGGAGGAAGAGAGAAGAAGCTTGGTTCTTTGATGACAGTCTTCTAGTCCTGGACCTCTTGTTATGTAAAAGACATCAAATAAATTTCTTATTTGTTTGAGCGATTCTTTATCAAATTTTCTGTAATTTGCAATTTACTACGTTTCTAAACTGATGCAAATGGGATAAAAATGGAACCTACTTCACAGGTTGTGAGGATTCAGTAACGTATTCACAGTGCAAGGTCCGTGTGTACAGTGCAAGGTCTACAGCCTGGCACTCAGCAAGCATTCATGAAACACAAGGCCCCTATGTTGATGGTGGTAAAGAAAAGAGGAGGAAGAGAACGAAAAACCTGGCACCCCTTTGGCGAGCCACGGAACGGAGTGTGGGGGCAGGAAGCTGGGCGGGGCGGGTCCTACCTCGATCACTGAAGTCATCCACCAGCACGATCTCTGCGACCAGCTCAGGGGGTGATCGGTTCAGCACGCTGTGCACGGTGCGGAGCAGGGAGGACCAGCCCTCGTTGTGGAAGGGGATGATGATGCTCGTGTTGGGGAGCGTTTCCAGGTAGTGTTTGCTGTTGCAGCTAGAGGGAGACACAGGAGAGAGGGGGAGGACAGGTTCAGCTCTCAACCTGCCAAGAGAACTCTGTTTGGCATGTGGTTCGGCTAACGGCAAATCCCACCTCCTCTCCCACCTTCAGGGAAAGAATGAAAGCTGAGGACCGCTGGGTCACTTTGAATGCTTTCTTCTACTTGGCACCCCAGAGTCCTGCCTCCAGCCTCTGCACAGACAGTGCACAGGGCTGTGTATAAAAGACCTGCTGCCTCCCACCCCACATTGTATGGGAGTAGTTTCAACAACAAGGCCAGCGCTGATGGAGCAGACAGAGGTTGGTGCTGAGTGCTGTACGCCGCTGTTGTGTTTAAGTCTCCCTTGTTATATGCATTATGCCCATCCTCATGTTTTCACGTAGAGGAACAGCCCTTCAGTAACACTCAGGCCTCTCTCCCAACCCTGCACACATTGCTCCCCGATGGAAAAGAAACGATTTATACCCTTGGCAAGTATGGAAGAATACACTGGCTTTCGTGGGCCCAGCCCCCTCCGTCCCTCCGTCCCTCCCTGGTTGCTGCCTGCAGAAAGCAGTTTTCTCCTCTGCTCTCCAAGCACGTGGTAAGCTGGGAGTGAAAGGTCCTGCACCTGTGGGGAAGGACTGATGTTTTGTGTGTTTGAACCACCATATCATTAAAACACCCCAAAGAATTAATATCGTTCCTTAATATCATCAAAGTTGGTGTTCAAATTTCCCTGACCTTCGTATGTCTTTTTACAGTTGGCTGGTTTAAATCAGGATCAAAACAAGATCCACATACTGAATTTGGATGATATGTCTCCTAAGTCTCTTTTATACATAAGGTGCCCCCTCATCCTCTTTCCTTTACAATTTATTTGTTGAAAAAACTGGGTCATTTGTCTTACATAGTTTCCTACAGTCTGCATTTTGCTGCTTGCAACTCCGTGGTGTCTTTTAACATGTTCCTGTGTCCCCTGCCCCCAGCCCCCTTCCTTCTTAGTTTCTATAAACTGATAGTTGGATCTAGAGGCTTGGTGTGATTCAATTAGATATTCTGGCAACCTCTACTTAGACAGTGAAGTGTGCACACCTTAAAAACGAAACAAAACCTGTTGCCATTGAGTCAGTGCCGACTCATAGTAACCCTACAGGACAGAGCAGAACTGCCCCATACGGTTTCCAGGGAGTGGCTGGTGGATTTGAACTGCTGACCTTTTTCAGTTAGCAGCCAAATGCTTAACCACTGTGCCACCAGGGCTCTGTGCACACCTTAGGAGACACATAAGGTCCATCTGTCTTTCTTTTTGTGATGTTGTTGTGTGCTGTCAAGGTGATGCCAACTCACAGCAACTCTGTATGACAGAGTAGAGCTGCTCCATAGGGTTTCCTAGGCTGTAATCTTTACGCGAGCAGATCACCAGGTCTTTTTTCCCATGGAGCTGCTGGTGGGTTTGAAGGCTGATCTTTGCTCAGTTAGCAGCCAAGAGTCTAACTGTTGTGCCACCAGGGCTCCTTTTGTGATGTTAGTGGCCAGTAATGATTAATGCTTAAATCCTTTATTTCATCAGGAATCTACAAAATGGTGATATCCCAATTCTATCATTCCTTCTTCATTTATTAGCTAGAACACTTCTATAGACAAAAACTTTACCACATCAACTATTTGGTTACCCCAAGGTACAGGAAAGCCAAGATGAGTTCTGGAATCTTTCAGAATAAGTTGGTTCCCTGTTATTGTTGTGTGCTGTCAAATTGATTCTGACTCAGAGTGACCCTAGATGACAGAGTAGAACTGCCCCATAGGGCTTCCTTGGCTGTAATATTTATGGGAGCAGATTGCCAGATCTTTTCTCCCATGGAGCAGATGGTAGGTTCGAACTGCCAACCTTTCTGCGAGTAGCCAAGCACTTAACCATTGTACCATGAAGGCTTCTGAGTTGGTTCCCTAGCATCCTCCAAAGGTGATCAACTATTTTTCATTATATACTAATATATTTTAACATAATTGACATATTTCAATTCACTGAAGTTGTTATTCTTATTGATTTCCAAATAGGCCCATCTTTAGCCCAGAAAGTCTTTTCAAAATTGGCTTCTGAGTCCTTTGAATATGACAATAGAGTAAGCTTCTTTGCTTTCTGATAACAGATATGAAAAGGTTCTCCATGCTCAACTTGTACAAATTTTCCTTTTCTTACCTGGAATCAGCCATTCCTCCAAGAAGCCCTAGCTCCATAATGTTACCAATATCACCATTTAGAGATCACAATCTGGGCACTAAGGGTATTCATTACTTACTGGGTTGGTTATTTCTCTATGCGTTCTCAGTGGTCAGAGCTAGAAATATACTTTAAAAGATACACCATGAATTTAATATTTAAGACTACGGAGTTTTACTGAACTTTCTGATTTTACATTGTATCTCTTTTTAAAATTGAGATGTAATTCATATACCATAAAATTCACTCTTTTAACGAATATAATTCAGTAGATTTTAGCATATTCACAAAGTTGTGCAGACATCACCACTCTTTAATTCCAAAACATTTTCATCACTCCAAAAAGAAACCCGTATCCATTAGCAGTCACTCCCCATTCTCCCCTCCTCTCACCTCCTGGCAACCACTAACCTATGGTTTGCCTATTCTTGACCATTTATAAAATGTAATCATATAATGTGTGGCCTTTTGTGTCTGGCTTCTTTCACTTAACATATTGTTTTCAAGGAGCACTTATGTCATAACATGAATCAATATGTTATTTCTTTTCATGGCTGAATAATATTCCCTTGTATCCACATTTTGTTTATTCATTCATCAATTAATGGTCATTTGGGTAATTTCCACTTCTTGGCTATTATGAATAATGCTGCTATGAGTATTTGTGTACAACTGTTTGTGTGGACATATGTTTTCAATTTTCTTGGGTATATACCTAGATGTGGAATGGTTAAGTCATAAGGTAACTCTACGTTAAATTTTTTGAGAAACTGCCAAACTGTCTTCCAAAGTGGCTGTACCATTTTACATTCCCACCAACAGTATATGAGGGTTCCAATTTCTCTACATCCTTACCAACACCTGATATTACCCGTATTTTGACTACAGCCACCCTAGTAGGGGTGAAGTGGTATCTCATTATGGTCTGATTTGCATTTTCCTAGTGAGTAATGATGGTGAGCGTCTTATGCTCTCATTGGTCATTTATGTATCTTCTTTGGAGAAATGTCTATTTCCTTTTCGGATTGTTCATTGCTGTTGTGTAGAAATATAATTGATTTTTGTACGCTAATCTTGTATCCTGTAATCTTGCCAAACTTATTAGTTCTGATGGATTTTTTTTTGTGTGTGACTCTTTAGGGTTTTCTATATATAAGATTATGTAACAGAGATAGTTTTATTTATTTTTTTAGCAGTGACTTTTTGTACTTTCATAAGCAATTATTCATTGCAAAAGTTAATTACAAAACCCTGATAAACAAAAATTTAAAAAGCCATCCATGGCCTCATCTGTGAGATAGAACACTTTTCCAATGATCCTTTCTACATTTGTTAGTTGATACTGAACTGTAAATAAGCTTTCTCATTTCGCTCTCTCTTCCTCTTTCCCTCCCTCCTCTCTCCCTCTCTTCCTTCCTTTCTTTATTTATTTATGTCACTAGGGACACTTCATTTTTATTTTATTCTATGGGTCATAAAATTGCTATTTCTATTTGTTTGTTAGTTAATTTGTCTTGGTGCTCAGATATTCATAGATTCAGCCAGTGAGAGCCCCTTCAAGCCTGGCTCCTGGCCTTGTCCTTCTCTGAGCACTTCCTTACTGTCTGGCTTATCTTGTGCTTTCCCAGGCCCAGCCCTAGAACGACCCATTTCTCCAAGGAGCCCTCCTGTTAACTTTTCTATGTCTCTCTTCCCAGTCATTTTTCTTTAAAAGTTCATACAGGCTCTTGGCTTGAATTTAAGGTAGGTTCACACATTTCTTAGCTTGTCAGGTGAGAGAGGTGGGCAGGCTGTCCTGAGAAACCTCCAGGTGGAGAGCACATCCTGAGGGAAGATGAGGTGAGGCAGAGCCTGTGAGAAACTCTAAGTCAGCACAAGCAAGGGCCAATTTTGAGTAAACAGGAATTTATCAGTCACCTTTTCCTTGTGGCTCAGGCCCCTCTGGACTCCTGAGAGCAAGAAGTTGTGAATAAAGCTTGAAGAGTCTTTTACCAAAAACATTGTGAAACATATGATCCAAGTAGCACAGATACAGGGCCCCTGCTGGCAGGCTATAATATAACTAGGAAGTCTCTAAGACCCCTTCATTACAAACTTCCACAGAGCTTTGGTTTTGTGAGGACTTCAGTGGTTCCTGGTTGCATGTGACCATGACTGGTAGCTGTAGCTCATTAATACAGACCACAGGGTTCCCCGGCAATGCCTGCTGGGAGTCAGGGACAGACCACAGAAGTGGGACAGGTGCAGTAGCAGAGCCCCTAGGAAGTAAAGTAGCTAGTATACACTTGTGAGTCACCCCTGGGAACTTCCAGGAACCCTGGGAAGACATTTGCTGAGGGTGGAGTTCTTGTCTGAACAAAAGGGTCAAGAACCAATTAAATCTTACTGTAATTAGCATAACTACATTAGTATCCACAGAATTATGAGGCTTGGGCTTGAGTAAAATTGGGAAACAGATATGCTTTTATTTTTCTCTTCGTTCCCTTCAAATCAAATAAAATCCCACCTCCAGAAAAAAACCTGAAAATTTCCTTCTAAAGCAGTAGTTCTCAACCAGCGGTAATTTTGTGCCACAGGGGACATTTGGCAATGTCCGGAGATACTTTTGGTTGTCACAACTGGGGGATGCTACCAGCATCTAGTGGGTAGAGGAAGCTTCTAAACACCCTACATTGCACAGGACAGCCCCTCACAACACTTATCTGACCCAAAATGTCAATAGTGCTGAGGTTGAGAGACCTATTTCTAGATGTATACATCTCATTGATTCAGAAAAATTGTTTATATATT